TTTGACTTAGAATTTTATTGTTCTCATTTATCACTCACACCTCAATTGAGCTTTTAATATTATTCATATAATATATTGTTGGGTTGTGGTGAGTGATTTAGTGAGAGTGAGTTTCATAGTGTTCTCATTCATTGTTAGAGAACAAATCATTGTACTTGAGCCTTATTGTGAGAGTATCACTTTGTAATACACATTTACACCAAGAGGAGTGTGTGGTGAGGACGTCGTCGATACCAAGAGGAGTAGCGTCGCTAGTAAAGCCTAGAGAGAGGTAGTAAAACCGAGCACTTGAGTGAGGCGATACGTGAGGACTAACACTTGAGGTTGTAGTTTGTGTATGTACATTGTGAGAGATTTGTAGAGTTTTCGGTAAGGTAGAAAACCGAGTGTATAGAGAAGTTCCGGCTTCCAAACCGGGTGTATCGATAGTGGAGTTCTCCCCGGGAGTGGGGGAGCGAAAACGTAGGACGGAAGGTCCGAACTCCGTGATCATACTATTGCGTTTGGATTGCTCTTTGTGTCCACTATTTGTTTATATTGTTTCTTGTTTATTTTCCCCTTTGCATATATATCATTGCATATATCTTATTGAATATCATCATTGTTAGGATATATTTATTAATTAATTTTAATCGGCATTAATATCTAATAAGATTAGCAATAACCCTATTCATCCCCCTCTAGGGTGCTTTCAATTGGTATCAGAGCACTTCCTAGTGGCATTGAGTGCTTTCAATTATTCCACAATTTTGAGGAGTTTCATAAAACACTAGTCTTCCGAAAATTTCTGTTGATGTATGGAATCACACAGTCAAATGAAAGTAGATTACGTTGACGGAGGTCCTCTAACTCTTCAAATGTCTGGTCTTTGGGCAAGTTGTACTTTCATTCACAAGTAACAGATTGTAAGAAGGCGGAGTGTGATTCCTGGGTTCTGCCTCCGACGATCAATTCAGTGGGTGGCTTGTGTGTAGAAGTAAAAAGAACTGTACTAGTTCTTAAGTTTAGAGAATGGTGAAAAAAGCTTACCCTGTAATAGAAATTAATATCTTTTTTATAGTAGTGGATGGAGGGTATGATGGTAACTTTGGCCGAACATGAGCTGGCGGCCAAGTCAGCTTCAACTTTACAGGTGTTGGCCGAGGAGTGACGAAGAGGTCACTTTGGTGTTTAATGCGAAGTGACGGGGGGTGTGCGGTGCCGACGTGGTCTGATGTATCATAAATACCATTAAAGGTAGAGGAATGATGATACCATATTGCATTTAATGACATTTATGGTGATGTGATTGGTCATCAATGTACTAGAGGGGCTCGAGGGTCGAGGCGTTTCATCGTCTTTCTACTCGTCTGGTGGTCTAGAAGTACCACCTTTTGAGTCACCCTCGCAAGGTATCGACCAATTAGTCGGCTAAGTAGTCAACTCAGTCAGGGACGGTACATAACACCTTTCGGGTCGTCGACATGTAACGCCTTTCGAGTCGTCCTCGCAAGATTTTGGCATGTCGAGTCGACTGAGTTAGGTTTCTGATTATCTTGAGGCGCTGACTTGATTGTGTATAATGTGAGACACTTGTCTGCCATCGATTGATGATTATTCTCCATTACTAAAATGGCTACAACGGGTCATTCTCAAAAAAAAAAAATTTTTTTTCTCTCAGTAAAACCATAGGAGAAAACTCCTCTGGAAATTTTAGAGTATTGTGAAACCTTTTGACAAAGTTTAGGGGGTTCATTTTATCTTGGGGTTTTTTCTTTCTCTAGAAGTCACCTTAAAAAGAGGTAAATCAGTTTTCAATTTCAATTTTAATTTAATCAACTATCTTCCATTTAAAAAATTTATTAAAAATTTAAAATTATTCTTAAGAACTCACATTCAAAACACATGACTCATTTTTTAAATGTTAAGGTATCATTAAGATACAATTAACGTACATTAAATTTAAAAAAATTTAATTTATTTTTATATTTTTAATAAAAATTTGCCTAGAAGGTAATTGAGTGAAATAAAAACTCACTATAAACGTGATTTATTTATAATTTAAAATTAAATATGGTTTCCGTGAAAAAATCCCTTTACTTTTTAAAGTTTTGTGCAAATTACCCAAAAGTTCAGGTGACTTTTGTGAAATTTACCGCACGCCAGCCTTATCCCCTCCTCCGCTTTCTTCTCGCTCCTGATCCCTCTCTTCCACCCAACAAAACGCCATGGGCCTCCTCTCATGGTGGAAGTCCAAACCCACTCCTCCTCCCTCAGCTCCAACCCCCAGCAAAGACCCCAACTCCACCTCCGCCCAAAACCCACCTTCAGAGATCCCGGGCCTCAACGGCGCTGTCGAGGTCCGACGCCGGCCGGAGGAGGTCACGGTGTTCTCTCCGATGAACTTGAGCCTTGCCGCTGGGAGATCGTGCCCGCTGCCGGCGACGATGCGCCCCAGTTTCGGATCGTGTTCTGATTTTGGGGTTAGGTTAGGTTTGGATTGATGGGTACTCGTTATAATCTATCAATTTTGTTTGTTTTGACGTGTGACGTCTTCTTGGGTTTTGACGGTAATGAGGAACCTAGCTGTTTCCTTTTCTCTGCCCTATTGTGAAAGTTTGCTGCCTTTTAACTTATGTGAGAACTCTTAATCTTTGGTTCTCTCTCTTTTATCTCTTGTTTATATGTTCATTAATGGCTGGAATTCCTGATCATTTAGACCCTTTTGATGAAGAATGATCAATGATTTACCATTATTAGTGTCTGTTTAGTATGTAAAAAACCCCATGATCATGCTTCTACTTCTTCAAGGTTGTAACTTGTGAGAAGTTTATAAGGTTATTGGTTGTATTCCGATTGTTATAGGGCATTGAGAACCAGAAATGTGTTGATTTTATTTGATTTCTATGCTTGAGAACTATGCTATAGGTCTAAAAATAGACCAATGCCTCCGAGCATTGTTGGAAAATTTAGCAACTTTTCTAGTATCTTGGGTGTCACAGATTGTGTACAAGATGCATATGCTTATGGGTTACCGAATAGTTTTGATGTGTTGGGTGATTGAGGTGAAGTCCAGGGTTTCATTAGCAAAATGCGCTATGACTGGTGGCTTTCATTTGTTGAGGTGAGGGTACTGAGTATTGGTGTAATATCATTAATTGAGGATTAGGAATGGAGTAATTAAGTATTAGAAATTGCATTTAAAGGTGTTTGTTGTGAAGGTTTTGGTAGCAAGTCTGAAGTTAATTCTGCAATGGCAGCACTAATCTGAGGTAATAAGTATATCTTCTTTAATTATTGCTTCTTTTTTACTTATGCTACTAATTGCAAGTTGTGACAAAAGATGTTCATGCATAGATTTGGTTTGGTCAAGAGAGGGTCTAGCTTTAACTTATTAGTTTTTGCAATATGCATTGGTGCATGATTGTCATAGCATTGATTCATTGGATAAGTTGGATCCTTAGAATTCAGACATGTTGTGCATCAAGGTTTGAGCCTCCCATCATATACGCCTCTGTCCAGATTTTGCTTAAACGCCATATTTGGGAAAGCCTTTATTCTTTTACTTTTTATGTAACATTTTATTTTGATGATGCTTCATCAATTCCATCTTATAAATTAGTTCTGTAATTTTTGAAAACTATATGGACAATATGAAGTTCAATATGAGGAACATGCATGAAGTAGCTTCTGATTCCTGCATGAAGTAGCTTCTGATTCTTGTGACAAATATCATAGCTCGCCTAGCATGTAAAGCACAGCTTGTGATTTGTGTAGATAAATCAGTCACCTTGCTATTATATCAGGAACAAAGGTTTTATCCCAAATCTTTTCTATTAGCGACATGAAGTTTTCCATTTTATGTCAGAAAAAACTGCATATTAGTATCTTAGACAAATGGTTTCAGGTCATGCATCCTTGCAAGCATCTAAGCTTTGGTCATCATGTGATGGACTCGTGTCGCTTCTAGTCTCTGATCTCATTTCATTCTATCTCAAGAGAATGGCCAGCAGTGTTTATGTTAGAGCTCGATTTTGAGACATATGATTCACTTACACTTGAAGATGCTTGTGTACGCTTTTACTAAATCAAAGAGCTTTTTGCCGGCATCAGACTTATCTTTGATGAATCTACTCCGTGGATATGGTATTCACCCGAATTTTTCCTTGGTAGATGGTAACCATTCTTATTTCCATTTCTAAACTTACAAACGAGTCTTGAACTCTTCGAATCCTGTATATCTATTATTGATGGCAACATGTAAAATCCCAGCACGCTGTTTAGTGATGAGTGAGAAGCTTATATGCCACATTTTTGTTTGCCCCTCTCCTAGAGAGAAAGTTTGGCTATTAATTGGGATTGCGTGAAATGCGAATTTGAGTTTTGTCTGGTCACTCTCTTGTTCAAAATGCGCTGCTATCAGTAAAGAGTGGCCCTTGTTCTACTGATGTGAACTTTCTTCGGTTTCTCTTTTATGGATTTGTTATTATATTTACAGCAAGATAACCGTTAGTTTTTTTGCTGTCAATTTTGTGTTCCAAAATTAATTGGATATATAAAATTATCAGAAATGTCATACTATATTCCAGACAATTACAAGCTCAGGGATTGATGTTGTGGTTCTTATGGAGCTGTGATATCGCATTTACAAAGTAATACGGGTGTCCTATGGTCTATGAGTTATGATCATTACCATAACCATCACTGCTTTTAAGCATATACTCTATTATGAATTTCAGCTCCTTTGCTTACTTTTTCTCCGCATACTGCCCTGTATGCAATTTACAAGCGGTTTAGTTTAGTGATTCCCTCATCTGAATTATTAAGATGATCTAGTATGGAGTGGTACTTTCCTCTGTTTTCATTAGACAAAAGGTCTAACGAAACTTAGAACTTTGGTCATAGAAACTACGATCGTGATAATTTTGGATTTTTCCTCGATTAGACGTCAAGGGTGCTAGTGGACATTTGTCGCACCACCACAGACTGAAAAGTCCACATTGGCCCAATCTATACAGTGCAAGTGAATTCGCCTGAGCTACAGGGAGATAAACATTGAGAATCAGTGGATAGGATCCTTGTAGTCTCCAATGGCCTCCAATCTCCTCAGACTCCATTTACAAACCACTCTCAAGGCTTCACCTCCAATCTCAATCTCCCCTTCATCACTCTCCTTTACAAATCCATCTCCACACAAACGCACACTGTGCTCTTTCCCACCCACAAGCAGAGAAGAAGCCATCTCCCAAGCAAAGCTCTCCCTCTCCTCCACCCTCAAGAAGCCCCTCAATAACCCGATTCCCGTCCCCACGAGAAAACTCAAGAAACTCACCCAACCAAGATTTCGTGTCGAGATCCCTGTCGTCGACGACTCACCCAACTCACTCATCCAGCTAGCCTTTGTAGTCTTTGCTAACTTACCCATCACAAGAAAAGGCTCAATTCCAGCCACACTTATCCTCTGGCCTAATCCCACATTGGCGCAATTAGCCCTTCAGACTTTTAGCTCAGCTACCTCAGTTACCAACTCAGACTTGAGCTCAGTCGGTACTGAGATTTTGAATTCTGCTGACTTGGCCGTTTTTTTGGCGCCAGAGAAGTCTCAAGTTGAAGACATCAAAAGGGTAACAACCAGCTTGTATCCTAAGCCTGTGGTTCTCTTTAATCCCAATTGGGCTTTTGATGAGGAGAAGGATTTTGAAATGGGGAACTTTCTTGATTCTTTTGATGTGGTTTATTCTTTTATGGGGTTAGAGGTTAGAGGGGTGATTAAGAGGAGGAAGGGGGTGGTGTTTAAGTGTGTGAAGGATGGGGTTGTGAGTGGTGAAGTATGGGAGGTGATGGTGGAGGATGAAGAAGGAGAAGAGAAGGGGAAGTTGAAGGTGGTTACGAGGTTTAAGCGAAGGCCGACGATTGTTGAAGTCGAGAGCGTTCTGTATAATCTGATGGCGGCGAATTCTCCAGTGACCAAATCTGTCAAGTTTCTGAAAGATCTGGTTTCAAACGTAACAGGGAAGAAGGACAAACAGTGACTTTGGTAGTACTTAGTCATTTTGTTGCACCTGGTCAGTTTTGGTTGTATGAACTTTGCGGTGATTATTCTTGTGATTCTTTCTTTCTTGTTATGTGACTCTTTCTGATAACGAGATGTTTCTTCAAAGGTATCTGAGAAATAAAACGTTGTTAAAAGCTATTTTTGGGGCTTATAACTGAAAGATAATTGTGCGAGTAATTTCCACCATTTGAATATAATTATACAAGGAAGGGCATCACCAAGGATTAATGGGGGAAGAGTCAAGATTGTAGTGTCACCTGGAAACTTTGGGTCCCTTGGGAAGTAACCTCTAATCACTAGAATCAGTCAGGGGAGGTTAAAATTTGGGCTTCACAGTTTAAACATAATTCTGTGTGCTTATTTTCTGTATTAACCCATATAGAATAGGTTTAATTATGGAGTAGCCAGAGCTCATTTCTACATTACACATCATGTGCAAATTTAAAAACACCTATTAACAAATCTCATATTTTGACTTCTGATGCTTCTTCTATAGCAAGCTAAGGAGCTCCCTGGCCTTCTCAAGCAAGATTAATCCCACATATCTTAGTCAAAGTAATCTGTATAAATTAGTCTCAAATCTTCCAAGAGAAGAAGAAACCAGCACCCTATATCAAAATCTTGCAAATATGCAGCTATAAAGGGACCATAAACATCTAGTGGGAAAATATCTCACCTTAACATGCCGATGAGTAGCGACAGAATCAGCAACTTGCCTGATTCCATCCTTCAGTTCATCATTTCCTTTCTTCCTCTTAAATCAGCAATTAGAACCGGCACTCTATCAAAGAGATGGAGACCTCTATGGAAATACAATCTCTCTTCAGCCACTTCTCTAGAATTCGCTGAAGAACTTTCAAGAACGCAATCACCAACACAGTTTGTGGCCTCTGTTGATCGATACCTACAACTCCATGAAAGCAAGAATCTTGACAAGCTCCGGATTCTCTTCTTCCCGTTTGATATTTACTTGCCCAATTTAGAGGAGTGGCTTGGCTTTGCGGCAGTGAAGGGAGTTCAGCAGCTTCAACTTGACCTGCTTGAAGAATACAAAGTTAACCGAGATGGAAAATTCACTGATAGAAGAAAACCAATCAAGCTGCCCACTTCACTATTTGATTGTGTTTCATTGACACATCTGAGTTTGAGCTGCTGCAAGTTTTGCACCCACTTAGATTTCAAAAGGTTATGTAATCTCCACTCGCTCTCTCTTACAGATGTTAACATCGATGATAAAACTTTACAAGGCATTCTAGCTGACTGTCCGCTTCTTGAAAGCCTGAGCCTACGGAACTGTCACCATCTAGAATCTGTTAGCATTTCTGGTCAGGATCTCAGACTTGAGAGTTTAACAATAGTGGACTGCTTAGGAATGTGTTTCCTTGAGATTTCTGCTCCAAGACTCAGATCTCTTCGTGAGTATGGTCGGATTCATCAACGTCATCGCTTCATAGATGTCTCTTCCTTGGTTGATGTCTTCATCTCTTCAGTTGGCAGAGAAGGATTTGGCAATTACACAAAGAGATTATCTGATCTTACCCATGTACAGATTCTCACAATATGTACAGCGACTCTTCGGGTATGGTTCAAGTTTCCTCATATATTTTCATCTTTAGTCTTGATCTTGTATTGAACTTTTTTGCTTCTTGCATGTATTAGCAAGTTGGTGGAGCCGCAGGATATAATCCCCAAGAGTTTGGATTAATCCAGCTGCTAAAGCTGCAAGAATTGCAACTTTTAGTAGATTTGATGTCTGAAGAGGAACTGAAGAACATCTTTACCTTCTTTCAGTTCTGCCCGGCTCCCAATATTGAAAAATTCTTCATCAGGGTAAGTATCTACTTCGTTTTCTCTCTCCTTCAAATTCTTATGCGTGAGAAGATTGTTTTCTGATCAAATCTACCAAACCTGCAGCTTCCTGTAGACCCTAATGATCTCAATGGGATAAGCTCCGACTTCAATGCTTTCAAGAAGCCACAAGATATCACCTTTAACCATCTTAAGGTAGTCAAACTGAACAATTTTAGAGGGAGCAATACGGAAATGATATTGGTAAAGTTTCTTCTGCAAAAGGCTGTTATATTAGAATATTTGGTAATTGTTGCACCTTCAATTGATCTTGAGAAAGGAGCTGATGCTGAATCTACCAATTCATCTTCGCAATGCAAGAATAATGAAATAATGGGTTCGCAAAGTTTACGTGACAAACTATCAATGCTACCTAAGGCATCTCCCAATGTCAATATCATATTATGTGACTTCATGGAAGATGATACTGGCTTCAATCCATTGCACACAGAGCTCTATTGTGAACGTAGTCTCTTCTCTTCTGTGTGTGAGCCCAGTATTTACAATTATGTCAGTGACTAGATACTGACGCTCATTTGTATATACCTTTCAGCACTGTATAAAACCAAGTACAAAATTGTAATACCATCCGTGAACATGGTAATATTGTTGTGCGCAGCGGAACTCGAATCACACGAAATTGCACGAACAAGAACGAAATAAAATCACAATCACATCAGCAAAACACAATCACCACAGCAAGACAAACGAATTTTACGTGATTCGGCAAGTTGCCTACGTCCACAGGGCAATGAGGGGGGAGTTCTTACTATTAGAAATCAAGAGAATACAAATATGGTTACAAATCTTACTAATAAACCCTAGAACAAAGCTCTCTAGATCTCTTACAAATCCTCCCACAAAGGATGCACAATACTTTCTCAAAAGTTTGCTCAAATCGACATTGCTTAAACCTAATTAATCAGATTTAGGGTTATATACCATCAAAACGAAACGGGCCAGGAAACCAAAACCTGACTTAGACTTGACTGGCGGTCGACCGCCAAATTCGTCGCGGTCGACCGCCCAGGAACGACAGAGACATAAATCGACTAGTGTTTAGCGGTCGACCGCGGCGGTCGACAGTCTCCAACTCCAGAATCTGCCTTCGACCTGTGCACGTTTTCGGTCAACCGAAGCTGACTCGTGGTCGACCGGACAGCCTGAAAACTGTCTCTCTGCTGATTTTTCCTGAGCTGTTTGTCGCCGTGTTCGCCACCTCTACAAATATATATATTTTACTTTGTTTCCAACAACATTTTGAGGACATATCAAATTGCTGTCGAGTTTGCCAATTAATTAGGCCTGTTTGGCTGCCACTTTTTTGGGTTGTAACTATAGGTGTCATGTGCTACGGTATTACAATCACCTCCTCTGGTTGGTTTGTTAAAATGGGCGTGATATTGTAGCTGAGTTGGCAGATCTTTAGCAATTCTTGACAACAAGCAAGGAACTGAGCTCGTGTTACTGTAGTTGTCTGAACTCTGCAGTACTGCAGCTACTGTGCATTTTAAAAAAATTTAACCAAACAGGCCCTAAGCCTCTGAAATGATATTGAGTTTCTACTTTCATTTTAGCAAGTATAAAGGTCTACAGTACACATTTTTAAGTCTGTTACTCAGTGACATGGATGATGGATGTATAAGAAACGACAGTAGAAGTTTGGTTATCTTTCAGTAGTAACTATAATATCAGCACCTATCATTTCATACCTAATTAACTCAACATACGCTGAGTTAAGCAACAGAAACTGCATATTCAAACATTACAATTGGATAGCACCAAGAAATAATAAGAAATAAGCAACAATCATCTCAAACGCTATTTTCATGAGTTGTACTTCAAAAATTCAAGGGACTCGACAGTTAACGAGATGCCTAACAAAATAAAAATAAAAAATTATCAAAGACAGACATATTCTTCTCCTAGTTAATCCTTAACTCCTTAGGTTTCTACCTCCGAGGATTGGAATTACGCAAGCCTATTTACATGCATATGATATGAATCACACAACTTCATCCTGTAGTCTATACTTCCCTAGTTTTAGTTCGGGCACTTTTTATGTGACACCCCTATTTTAGTCCCATATGGAATAGTATGAAGAAATGTTAGTGGCTTAAATAGAGAAGTCCAAGGTCCAAGTACAACTAGTGCTAACATTTTGACGGTGAATTTAGCCAACCCACGAGTTGCTCTCCGTGGACCAACGACTTGCACGCGTCAACAGGCCCGTGAGCCTGGGGCGTGACAAATAGTATCAAAGCATCAGTCGGAAGTGTGGAGCTAAGTGCTATATGGTGCTAAGTGTTACACCGTGTAGATGCGGTGAGAGCCACCTCTAGAGTCCACATCGGATGTGCCAATTGTCATGTCGTGACGACGAAGACGTCGTCTTTGTAAGGTGGGATGATTGTGATACCTCCACTTTAGTCCCACATGGGCTAGCATGAAGAAATGTTAGTGGCTTAAATAGAGAAACCCAAGGCTCAAGAACAACTAATGCTAGCATTTTGACGGTTGATTTAGCCAACCTCACGAGTTGCTCTCTCTGGACACACAGACTGCACGAGCCAACAGGCGTGACATTTTATAACCTCCCCAAGCTTCCTCACCTCATCCTGGAATCGCTTCTTCTCTTCATCTTCCTTGTCATCATCCCACGTGACGCAACAGTCACTTTCTCCGCAATCCTCTTATTAATAGCATTTTTGAAAACAACAGCGATTTTTTCAAGATAATGGTGGAAATATTAAATGACAACATTTTTTCTAGTGAGCTTGGGAACACGCTGTAAAACTTGAGGTGATAGGACCTTTTCCAATTACCACTTGATTCGAAAATCACTATCTGAGAAAGAGACCTTACTTTGAAACCCAATTAGGAGTGACCCAGATTGCAGCAGGCCAGAAAGCAGGAGGCCGTTCTAATCTGGATCTAGCCACGTAATTTCCTTATGCTTGGTATCAAACACGCCTGCACCCTGTCTAAATCCTGTGGCTGCTCAACAATTTGATCAATCATATATGTAGGCATCGAAAATTGCCTATAGGTCTCCACGAACAGCTCAAAGCTAAGAGAAGATGATGAACATCACTATCCAAGTCACAGAAGCTTGATTAACGTCGACGAACGCTTGAAGTGAATCGGCGAACTATGTGAAGCAACGGAGTTTCAGAATAACGAGGATACGAATTGATCGGGAGCCCCGCGTCGCTTACAAAAGGCGCAACGCCCCTCGTGTCCCAATTGACTCCACAATGATCCAATCATCGGAGCTTGTAGATCTCCTCGTCGGCTTTCCAACGCATTTTGAATCGCTCAAATCCGAGTTCGGATGAAGAAGTTACGGCGGAAACGAACAAGTACACATAACAAAGCGTCTCAGCATGAGTTGAGACACCCCGAGGTGTCTCGGCCCAACGAGACACCCCAAGGTGTCTCGGCCCAAGTTGAGACACCCAAGGGTGTCTCGGCCCAAGTTGAGACACCCAAGGGTGTCTCCAACCTGATTTCGTCCCGTGCCTATAAATACAAGCCTCAAAGCCTCATTTTTTCAAATCTGGAATTCTCGAGCCTTGGCGAAGCCCTGCCGGATTGAAGATCAAAAGTGCACAGATTTCAGAGAGGAGGAGGAGTTAGATCTGCAGCCCGGTTCGTTCCTTAGGATTATCCCGTTGCGGTAATCTTAAGAAGAGTGATTATCTCACTTCGCCGAGATAAGAGCTACGGTTTCTCGATCCCTTCGCGGATAGACGAAACTCTGTCCAAATATTGATCGTTCGGTGGTCCACGGACTAACGCGTCCCCGTCACATACCAAGATCCCACGCAAGCAGCAGGCGATAAATACTCGTTGCGTTTGTTTGAAGAGAATTGTAATTTTTTTGTTTTCATTGTGTAAAAGTCTTATAAAAAGACTGATTTTTATATTCGTTGTAAACGTCTGAAGTTTGTAATGAATCCTGCAATGAAGCAATCAATTTTCACAGCAAACAAACTGGCGACCATCCCGGTGTTCGAAGAGGTCGAATACGAATTCGACCAGCAGAAATTTGAAGAGTACATCTCCTCCTCCTCCTCTAGATCTGCTCCTCCTCATAAGCGCAGGAAGATCTCCTCCTCCCAGAAGATCCGTCGGTTTCCAGATCTGAAGACCCAAGAAGTCAATCTCCACGCCGTCGCTACTACAGTTGCGCCTTGCAACGATCCGCCGGCATCCGATGAGACCAGATCTGCAGATCTGAACTCATTCGCGATCAAGGAGCCGACTGCTGAAGGCGCGCCAACCCTATCAAAGAGAGCACGTCAAAGGAAACGCCAACGCCTCGCACGCCAATTCGCCAAGGCTTTGGATCAGGTGGATGGACTCCATTACCAAGCAGATCTGGAGTTCAGAAAGCGCCAAGTGGCTAATCTGTCGCCACGACCAGCATCGGAATCCTCCTCTCGACCTCCAATTAACGAATAGGTTTATGTCAAACGAACCCGCTCTACTCTCGAGGAGCGAATCCAGAAGCGTCGCGCCTTGCTTGCGCATGCCCGGACCCTTGCGCGAAAAGCACATGAAATGCAAAAGGAAGAGGCGGTTAAGAGATCACCGAGATCTAAACAAGTTTGGATGCCAAAAGCCAAATCAGCACCTAAGGCAAAAATGTACGGAACTGTCATTAAGCTTTTGTCAACTTTAGATCCCGAACCTCCGGTAAAGCCCCACCGTAGCGGGGATTTCCCCAAGTTCAGGATTCCTCTAAAGGATCACCTCGGTTCTCCACCAGAAGATCGAGGCAAAGCGCCTGTTAAGGAACGCTTGGGACCATTGAAGGAACCACGAGCAAACACCCAAACTGGGGGTCGTACGTGACCTCCTAACAAAATAATTTCTGCAACGGCCCGCTTGGCGGTGCGTGCAGAAAATCAGGAGCCCGTTAAGGTTTCACCCTCACAAAGGTGTGATTCCAAGCGTGTGACTCCTGTAGACGCCAACAAGGCGATGTTTACTCAGAGAAAAACGCGTCAAACAGAAGAATGCGTTATACCTGAGAATTTATGTAAACAGCCGAATGCGTTATACCGCAACGTCGATGTGTTGTACTATCGGGATTTATTCGTACCCCCAGCTCGATAGTACAACACATCGAAAGAGAAGTACCCGGGAAACGGACTCTCACTGTCCGTGTATCAAAATTATCAGGGCAGTATTATCAGCGTGTAGCTGCCCCAAGACCGCTCCGCAGAGGGTCTCGATATTTGAGAGGATCTCCAACGAAAAGGCTAAGTCCAATCAAAAGCGTCTCCGTAAGAAACGATCGGTCGTTCAAGGTGACGAACCCCCAGAGGTTACCATCAATATGGTTGATAAGGGAAAATCGATTCGACCTTCTAGCTCTGATCCGCTTGTATCGCATCGTCTAACCCGGTTACGATCAGGAACTATTAGACAAAGGGATTATCAGAGAATACAGAGAGGGTTATCCTCGGATGATGAAGCATCGGATGCTAACTCAGCAATCGCTTCTGATAATACGGTATCCAATCCGGGACAATCCCGTGAAGTGTTTATGATTAATACCGAGGAAGTAACCAAAATGGTTGAGGAAGCCTTAGCCAAG